TTTGAAAAACCACTTTACTGGAAGCATACCCTCGACTATCAGCAACATAGCTCTCTTGGAGCATTTGTATGATAGCAACTGTTGTGCAGAATCACTGCTTCTAAGAATGTGTTCAACACAAAACGGTATCAGAGATCGGCATGATTCTAGTGTGTATGTGCAAGAAGTCCATTTGCAAGTTGCTGTGTTTCTGAAGATGTCAAAGTGTTAGTGGTCCCCGTACTCCTGCATTGGTCGACGATGTTTACGCGTCACCATGCATGCTACTGCTCACTCTCTGTTCTGAACTGCAGAGTTCTCGATTACAACCAGCTCACTGGCACCATACCCGACTCCTTTAGTCGCATGCAGCACCTTACACACCTGTGAGTAAGCATGACCAGGGCCGGGCAATTGCGGGCCTCTGAAGAGCCACGCATGCTCATCCGATTTCGACAGACTGCCTTTGCATGCCTCATCACAGAGCAGAAAACGCCATCGCTCTCAATGATCTTCATGATAGGCATGGGCATTCGAGCCAGATCGGAGGGGAAGGTAGGACGGTTGACGAAGGCACTGACCCGGAAGTAACAAGTCAACTAGGGGGACCCGTCTGGATGGGTTGATTCGAACTGAGCTTGGGTCAATCCCCGCCAAACTGCGCGGATCGGCCGACGAAACCGCGATGTGCATGGATCGGCTGTTGTTTGTATTCACCGATTCCCACGTTGGTAGTTGGCTTGAACTCGCCGACTCGCCAGCATGGGTGGTTGAAACACGCGCATCTGAGTAGGTTGGTGGTTGAAACCGCTATCTGCGCGAATCGGCAGTCGAAATCGCCAAGTAAATTTCGCGGATCGATTGACCAGAGTTGTTATCGGGTCGACCCGACCCCTACAGGGAGGTGACCCGTCAGATCAAAGCAACAATATGATGGGGTACAATAGGCGGGTTAGAAGCACTCTTTTGTGTTTTTGTTCTGTTTTTTTTTTGTTTTTTATGCACAGTAAGTATTAGCCGCACGTAAAATAATCAACTGAAGTAGTTTGTGACCAAAAGTTTGAGGACATTTTTGGTGCTAAAAGAAATCAGCCTTGAACGTCGCATCTTTTGCCCAGCACGGCTGCAGTGAAAGTTTTCTCCCCCTTTCTTTCCCGTCTTTTGAATCTCTTCTTTGTTCCCTTTCATCTACAATTCCATCCTTGCTTGTGCGTGTGGGTCGCTATCCTGTAACAGCACAATGGCAGAGAATCAGCTGACAGGATCCATCCCTGAGTCACTCTCAACTCTTTCTGCATTGGATGACTTGTAAGTTTCTCTTCTTGGTACTATCAATATTTGTCGGTTAGCTCACACAATTGCCCACAACAGGTTCGGTTTGGCCTGTGGCGATTCGAGACAGGTGGAATGGGCTGGTCCGTGCAGGCTTGGCTCGATGCAAGAACCTGCCACAGACCAACATGTGGTGCCAAGAAGAGATGCTTGAACTACAAGATATTTGAGCAAGGAGGTTGGGAAACTCTAACCAAGGTTCAAAACAACGTCGTTTTTTTGAAAATTTACCGTAAAAAACGGTACCGTAAAGAGCGGCCGTAAAAAACGGTTCCAGAAGGTGATTTTCGTTTGAAGAGAAAATCGGCCATCCTATGGGGCCAAATTGATGGCGAAAGGTACCAGGATGAAGAGGACAAACCCCTCCTGGCAAGTTTGCATGTGTGGGCATGATTGAAAATGTGTCCGACCTTGTTTTTGCCCTTTTCTCCTCGCTGACAAGAGTTCTCTAACAAGAAAACACTGTATTTTTTAGAAATTACCGTAAAAAACGAACCGTAATTTACAAAAACCATATTTAGGGTGATTTCAGATTGAACTAAGACTCATGAAACGAACCTAAACTGAACCCTAACGTGTAACTTGCTCTTAACGTGGCGGAATGATACGATAGCACCATGATAAATATCAGAGCGAGCTCTAGCCTACTCCGACACGCGGCCCCGAGCCTACTCCAACACGCGGCCTGAGCCACAATTGTTCAAGCTCCCATCTTCAGCATTCTTTTCCAGATCTTTCACCTACTGCTCCAGGAGCCTTGCTGTGGTGCCTTTTCAAAAAAAGCTGTCTGTACAACATTGTGAACAGACAGGAAAGCTAGCAGGGTAGCACACATGAGCAGATGTGTTGGTTACAAGTACTTTAGTCGTTGTCACCAATGTTCAAAATACAATAAATGTAATTTTTGGCTCATGAATTACGGTCGTAATTTATGGTGGTGTTGACAAGAATTACGGTCTTTTTTTTTTAAAGGACATTCTTTGCAGCATTTTTTATTTTGCAGAATTTTCAAGAATGCTTACAAAGACGACGAGTAAGGCGACAACAAACTTCACTACAGAGGAACAAGCCTATAATGGACCACTACACCACTACCATTGCTAAGCCTACCTAGTAGTACCTACCTGCTAAATCTGCTCCTGCTCCTTCCCCACAGTACACGGGAAAAAAACTCACTCGCGTAGATTTGGGCTCATGAAATTTCTCACAAGCTGAAATGTTGAAATTCACTTGACACAAACTTGGTCTCAAAATTTCGGTTGTAATTTACGACCGTATTTCTGAACCAACCTCCTTTTGCAAGGTCGAACCGTTTTTTACTGTAATTTACGGTAAAATTTCAAAAATACGGTTTGCATAAGAAAATCCTCGGCACGAGTATTTGTTGACTCGCGCTGAGGCAAGCATTTCTTGCAGCCTCCCCCTCCTGCCTACCCGTCAGCCTCTTGTTTCTCCTACCTACGGCAGGCCATTGGAACCCCCACCTCTAGGAAAACACTGGAAACACGTCCACCGTTATCTGTGCTAGCAGTTAAAAGCTACACATTTTGGCTGCATGTAGGGTGGACAACCAAATAATACCTCTCTGAACATGTTTATATACTGTGCGGGCAAGACATAGGAAGGATGTTGTGGCGTTCTGGACTGTTGGAACTACAGTGGCGAGAATCAAGATTAGGGCTGCTGGAATTGCCTCTAGTACGTAGTAGAGGTATTGTGGTATCCCTCATTAGGTGGAGAGCTTTAGGCATTGACTTGTAGATTCAACGTAAAAAAGTTTGGTTGCGTTGGTGGGGTTTGAGCTTCTGTTCTGAAAGAATGCCAGCGGCACAATTTGGGAACGGCTCTTGCTTGTCTCACAAAATTGTGTGGATAAATAAATCGTTCTGCCAAGTCTTGAGATGGTAAAAGGTTGCGATTAATAACCAACTAGTAGAATCCGAGTACTTGTTTACTCGACCCTCGGTAGAGCAATTCTCGCATAATCTTGTTACTCTATTATAGTTGGTACTCGCTTTCATTATTGTTGTTACTCCATCATATGAATTACGCAACCCAATCTATCACCTACTGGTTACCTCTCATGATCTTTCAACCGGTGCAGCTAGCTTCCTGTCTGACCCATACGTACATGCATTCTGATGGATTACCAGCTACCTTCTTGTCTGATCCACACATACACACACACTGGCATGACCCTACAGTATGCTCTACCATAGCATCCTGATGTAGATATGCATTGCTCTTTTGGATGCTATCACATAGCATTTTGATGTAAATATGCATTGCTCTTTTGTATGCGATTCCATAGCATCTTGATGTAAATGTGTAGTGCAGCACATGTGGCAGGCTTGAAGTTGCAGGGCACGTTCAAAGCCCCAACTGCCCCGTTGCCGCTAATGTTTTTGAATGAGAGTATTATTGTTGTTAAGTGCAAAGCGCATGCTGCATGGGCTGCCTGGTACCCCTCCATAGGCGGTTATACAGCAACCAGCTGAGTGGGTCAATCCCAGCATCTTTAGCAGCGCTTAAGAATATTAAATCCCTGTAAGTTGGCAAACTAATCAGCTTCTACCAATTGCATCCCACATGTTGACCTTTGTGAGCGCATGATATGTTACCAATTTGTCTCGGGTCGACTCAGCCCATCCATACCTGCCTTGGATGATCCCCAGGCGGGCTGGGTTGGGTCGACCCAATTCTCAAGCCTAGCGTCCTGGCCTGATCCAGCCGGAAATTGGCCTGGACCGGCAACTTCAAGAATCCGGGCAGCTTGGCCCGGCACAAAGCGGGCTGACCGCTAAAGAGTCCCGGCCCGGCCCGGCTGAAACCTAGGCTCCGGCCATGCTCATCCCTAGTGATTGTTAATTTCTCAGGAGAAGCACTACATGACACTGATTTAGTGACGAGTGTCAGTGATGCTGTATATGTGGGATGGATGTACACGTATGTTTAAAAAGTATGTCCCACGATAGAGCCCAAGATGAGTAAATCTTTAAGCTCTTGTGGGTGAGTCACACGGCCGAGTCGCTCGCGGCAACATTCTAGGTGATAACTTTGCTTCAACGGCCGCCCCTTCCATCCGTTCATTTGCCTCTCCCTAAGTCTCCTGGAGCACGCACATTGCACTGGCCGACTCAGGTTGAACCTGGCCCGACACGGGCCACCCCAGCCCTGGCCTGACATGGACCACCCCCGGCCCGCCCACGGTAGCAGGACAGATGGCCGGCCCGGGTCGGGCCAGGGCCCAGGGCTAGCCCTAGACATGAGCACATCAACCCAACGGGCCGGGTCGACCCGTTCTGACCCGGTGTTTGGACAACCTGAATTCCCAACATGGACGACGGAGGTTTTTGGGTCGGCCTGTCCCAGAAAATGCTTACCCATGGTCCGGTCGACCTGACCCATTTCCTGCTCAGGTCGAGCAAAGTGGGTCGGGTTGCTCATGTCTAGCGACACGTTTCTGGCCTTTATACAAAACATGCATGTTTCTGTGCAGACTATGCTCATCATGTTGCTCATGACACCGCACCATAATCATGTCAGATGGCTCAACTGGAACCACCTCTCCGGAAGCATACCTGCTGCATTAGGCGACCTCGTGCGAATGGAATTCTTGTAAGGCATCATCAACTCTGGTTGGTCGTCTATGTCGTGAAGTAAAACCCTGTCCACTCATCTACTCGAAACTATAACTCTATTGTAAAGCCCATGCGTTTCTGTATACGTAGAGTAGAAGCCCATCTAGGATGGTCGTAGTTGCAATGAGCTGGCTCCTCCTCCTCCTCCTCCTCCTCCTCCACCTCCTCCTCCTCCTCCTCCTCCTCCTCCTCCTCCTCCTCCTCCTCCTCCTCCTCATCCTCCTCCTTCTTCTCCTCCTTGTCCTCTTCCTCCTCCTCCTCCTCCTCCTCCTCCTCCTCCTCCTCCTCCTCCTCCTCCTCCTCCTCCTCCTCCTCCTCCTCCTCATCCTCATCCTCCTCCTCCTTATCCTCCTCCTCCTCCTCCTCCTCCTCCTCCTCCTCATCCTCATCCTCCTCCTCCTTATCCTCCTCCTCCTCCTCCTCCTCCTCCTCCTCCTCCTCCTCCTCCTCCTCCTCCTCCTCCTCCTCCTCCTCCTCATCCTCCTCTTTCTTCTCCTCCTTGTCCTCTTCCTCCTCCTCCTCCTCCTCCTCCTCCTCCTCCTCCTCCTCCTCCTCCTCCTCCTCCTCCTCCTCCTCATCCTCCTTCTTCTCCTCCTTGTCCTCTTCCTCCTCCTCCTCCTCCTCCTCCTCCTCCTCCTCCTCCTCCTCCTCCTCCTCCTCCTCCTCCTCCTCCTCCTCCTCCTCCTCCTCCTCCTCCTCCTCCTTGTCCTCATCCTCATCCTCCTCCTTCTCCTCCTTGTCCTCCTCCTCCTCCTCCTCCTCCTCCTCCTCCTCCTCCTCCTCCTCCTCCTCCTCCTCCTCCTCCTCCTCCTCCTCCTCCTCCTTGTCCTCCTCCTCCTCCTCCACCCCACTTGTACCGTCACTGGGATCCCGAGTTGCAGGGGATCTTAGTCCTCGGCATTTGCACTTATCCCGTCCTGACCCGGTTTTTTTGCATGGGACTGGTCAGAAGGTTGACAATGCGTAACGAGTTTACTATATCCACCTGGATCAGGTTGAACCGTGACCCCGTAGAAGTGATCCGTCGGAAAGAGACGACTTGACAAAAGTCAGGTCAACCTCGTTAATCTGCGCAGGCTGGCTGTTAATATCGTCGATCCATTCAAATCGTCGGCCAAAGTGCACCATTTTGTGTGTATTAGTGGTGCAAAAACTGAAGTCCGATTTGCGCTGATCCATGGTCTACGTGCGTGGATTTGTGCCGATTGGTGGTCGAGATTGCTGGTCTGTGTGGATCAGAGGACTAAACTGCTGATTGGATCTGATATTAAGTCGAACTGGCAGGTCGGCCGACTCGAGTTGTCGTCGGGATGACCCGGCCCGCCAACTCTACCCCTATAAGCCCCGGTCGGGACGGCGCTCTCAAGGTGCTGAGCTCGACCCGGGCAGTACCTAAGCTGGGTGGGCCTGGGGCAGGACGGGCCGGAACGAGTTGACCCATTACTCTTGTCTAATTCGACCTGGCCTGGTCGGGTGCTGGAGAGTTTCAAGGCAGTTAGGCCCACCCGGTATTTGTTTGATTCTTGCTCGTGTATGTTTAGGTAGAACCATCTAAATCACAAGCTGAATCCTGGATCTCGTCTAGTGGTAAATCTCCTCAATGAGTGAAACACCTGCCTAGGTCAGCATTTGAGTTACCTGTGTCAAAATGTGATTCCTTCCCAAGGCCATATCAACTTTGGTGAACAGCAGAAATGCAGCAGAATGAGCCGCATTTTTCCAAATTACTACCTGTGAAAAACTTGGGCCGCGCGGTTCAACGCAGGTTAACAGCATCCTGAGCAGGTCAAACCAGCTTGGCTTGAACCAGAACCGGCGTCACTGAAATTGGCGTTAGAATTCAAAGGGTCCGGTTGGGAAGGAAATACCTGAATGATCTTAAGATTGAATGACACTCGGTGATGCCTTCGTCAACGTAACAAATTGCATGCTAAAACTGGTTGACATTTCTTGCAGCATGCAACCATGGCTGTGGACGGCCTACTTTGTTGCGCTATTTTCTGCAGGTTTTTTTGTCTCATTTCTTGCTCCCTCCCTCCCTTTACTTCTACGTCACGACCTTGTGTCCTCGCGTCTGCAGGGGTCTGTCGTATATTGAATTGTCTGGATCCATACCAACAGCCATTGGGAGGCTCACCAACCTCGTCATGTTGTATGTGTGCAACCAGCATAACCGTGAGCTGCTCCATCAGTCCTTATGAAGCCCTGTGGCACAAAAGCGCTCTTAACATCTGAGAGTGCCTGGTGTCAACGTTATGAGCACGTGTGTGCAGGACCTTAGGAGGCAATATGCTGTACGGGACTGTTCCAAGCAACCTCAGCAATTTATCGAAGCTTCGATACCTGTAACTTTACCTAAGTGTGAACATCCATAATTTTATTTCAGTGATGCAAACCAGTAAGACTCACTGTCCTACTGTTCTTCTACTTCTGATTACATCCACTCAAACAGCACTGCAGTTTCTTGAGCTTAAGATGTCATGCCTTGACCTTGGTTGCGATTAGAGAAACGCTATCTTATGGTATCGTATAGTAATGCACGGCGTTGTACTGGTACCATGACTTTTATTCTTCAACAATATAAGGCCCTACAATTTGCATGTTTTCAGTTCAATGGACTCATGTATGCATGTCCCCTTCCCTTGTGCTTCTCCCCATGTGTGCATGTGTTTTTTATTCATCCCGTGTGCTGCTTAGCCAACTCAGGAGCAACCAGCTTTCGGGGCCGATTGACATCGTCATACAGAACATGAAGAATCTCACCCAGCTGTGGGTATTTCCAAGCAGTATACCAGGGCAAAAAAGGCAAAGTTGACCGACAGAAGAGTAGACATGATCCAACAGAGGAGTTAATGATACGACGGTAACAAATGCTTCATTGATCAACACACTATTCACTCTCTTTTTTTATTTCGTACTACACCACAAATGAGTGTGCATAGTTCTGGCATGCTTGTTCTAGCATTTGTTTCATGATTTCAATGTACACCATCCCTTTTCCGGTTTTTAGGCTGTGCTATATGTTGAAAGACCTTGGAAACTAAGGCATACCGAACTATCCTTTTCCACAAATCTGCATCCTCATCCTCCTCCTCCTCCTCCTCCTCTTCCTCCTCCTCCTCCTCCTCCTCCTCCTCCTCCTCCTCCTCCTCCTCCTCCTCCTCCTCCTCCTCCTCCTCCTCCTCCTCCTCCTCCTCCTCCTCCTCCTCCTCCTCCTCCTCCTTTGGGGTTGGACCCAAGCATAGGCATCCGAGCTGTCCCTAAACCCTCCTTTCCCCCCTGCCCGTCCACCACCTCCTTTGCTTCCTCAAAGGAATATGCATAACTGCATCCTCCTCGCCACTTCTTCCACCACAAACACACCCTCCAGCCTCGTGGTGGTATTCCAAACACATTATCCTCATTCTCTTTCAACCCACCTTCAGCCACTGCAGCAGCGCTGCTACCCTGCCACTCCAGTCTTCCCCTCTCATCTGCACCCATAGCGGCAGCTGTGGTCGCTAAACCGAACTCAGCTATTGCGGAAATTTTTGCCAGCCGCCTGAGAGCATCGTTGAGCTTTTGCGCTAATTCCCTCCTGCTCCCTTCCATCTCACCATTGCCTGCAGAAGCCTGAGCGGAAATCGGTTCTCCGGGCGTCTGCCCAGCCTTACCTATCCATTTATCGAAAAGTACTCGGTGAACAACAACTTCTTCTCGCATGGCCAGGTCAAGTTCACCAACTGCTCAGCAGTCACATGGAGTGTCGATAGCAACTGCCTCTCCAGCAACCTTCGCATTTGTGGCCTTCCTCACATCCCAAAGCCCACTTCAACCTGTGCTGCATTCTGTGGGTTGGACATCGGTGCTGCTCGCCCTGTGTGTGGGGGGCATGGCTACTGCTCTGTGAATGACTTCACTGCAATTGGAGAGTGTGTCTGTGATCCCAATTACATGCTCAACAACAGCAACACCAACACCTGTGTGCCTGGGGGTGCGTTTTCAAGTGAACTTTCTAGCTGACAAACTGTTGTAATACAATCAGGCATGCTTCTTCTAAGACACGCACAGCAGCACCACAGCCATTTTAAGAATGCATCTGCTCTGCTCTGTGTGCGTCTCTTTTCTGCAGCCGTGGGAGCATCGCTGGCATCAGGCTCAGCCTATGTGTCGCTGCAGGGATCAGCTGCTGTGCTTTCCAACGGTTCCATTCTTCTCACAGGAAGGGCGCCCAACGAGCAGGGAGCAGCGTTTGCCTCTCCCGCACTGCGCCTCTTCTACTTCCCCAACAAGCGCTCCCTCTGCGGGATTGAGCTCGCGTTCACCGCTGCCTTCAGCTTTGCCATGCGTCCACCGGGCCAGGGGGCGGGTGGAGAGGGGCTTGCGTTTGTGGTGGCAGCAGCTGCTCCTGGCAAGGGGGCTAGTGTGGGGCTGGGAGGGGTGGGGAAGCGGAGTGTGGCGGTAGAGTTTGACTCGGTGCTGAGTGTGAAGCACAGCGACCCCAACGACAACCACGTGGGCGTCAATGTGGGCGGCTCACCTGTGTCCCTCGCCTCTGCCACGGCCCCTCTCATCCTCAACGACGCCCACACCAAGCACGCCTGGATCCACTACGACCCCACCAGCGGCGGCACCCTCCGAGTCTTCCTCTCCTCCGACCCCCAGCAGCCCCCCACCCCCACCCTCACAGCAAGCGTGTCTCTCTGCTCCGTGCTCAAGCCCACTGCATCCGACTCTCTCTTCCTCTTCGGCTTTGTAGCTCTTTCGAACATCTGGCCACAAACACATATTATCCTGTCCTGGGACTTCGAGACAGGTATGCTGGCTCATCATTACTCGTGTTATTTTGTATTTCATAGTTGATGTCCTGGTTGACCCCCTTATATATCACGTCTTCGCTCTGTTTCTTGCAGTCGCAATGTGACCTCCCCCTCCCCCCCCCCCCCCCCACCCACCCCCACCCCCCCCCCCTGTTTGCGACAAGTGTACACTTGTGGATCCCGGAAACGGTCTTGCTAAAATTTGGGAATTCGCTAAAATAACGGATTTAAGAGGGCCCAGGTCTACTACTTGTTATTCGCGGGTTCTGGAGAGGGGCAGCAACATAATTTCACACTTTTTTTTGGTATGCCATAGTTCAGCAAGGTTCTCTACACATTCTTCTACCTCAACGGTACCAGAGAAAGAGCCATTGGTCTTTATTGCAATCCCCAAAAGAAAACAAGCAAGCAAACAATAAATAATTTGGGTGCGAAACAAGCATGACACAAGTTTTATTAGAGCCCCAAACATCTACCCTAATCACCTAGACATACCACCCTATGTGTCAAACTATATATATATGTTACAATGATATGTAGGCTGTAGTGGGGTAGCCAATGTAGGGTATAGGGTTTGTTACTTGTACCCAACTCTCTCGATAGTCAAACACCTTTTCTTCCCTTCACTCTCGACATGGTATTAAGAGCAAATAGGTCGTTAGGACCGTTTAAGGACTGTTTTTCAGGGCCCACCAACCGCTTCCGCCGGTTACCGCGTTACGCCGTCCCCTCCCTACACTGCCCTGAGTCGCGCAGCCCTCGCGCTCGCCTCGCGCAGCCCTCGCGCTCGCCTCTGCAGGCCCGTGCGCAACCCGCTAGCAGCCCGCCCGCTGCCTCGTCAGCCCCGCGCGTCGCTCGCCCGCTGCCTCGTCAGCCCCGCGCGCCGTCCTCCAGCCCTCGCGCTGCCTTCTGCTGCCCCGCGCGCCACCCCGCAGCCCTCGCGCTGCCTTCTACTGCCCCGCGCGCCGCCCCGCAGCCCTCGCGCTGTCTTTACTGACCCGCGAGCTGCCCGCGTAGCCAGCCCGCTGCCTCGTCAGCCCCGTGCGACGCCCGCGCAGCCCGCCCGCTGCCTCGCGCGGCCCGCGCAGCCCGCCTGCTGCCTCGTCAGCCCCACGCGCTGCCCTCCCGCTGCCTTAGCAGCCCTCGTGCTGCCTCTACTGCTCCGCGTGCACCACTCCTCCGCCCTTGCTCCTCCTCCCTTATCTCTACAGCTTCGCGCACCGCCCCTGCCGCCCTCACGCAGCCTTTGCCGTCCGCGTGCTGCCTCTACTGTCGTGCTGCAGTGACCATGGCTTCTATTAGCGTATTTTCGTTCGACCCTGAGGGTCGCCCGGTCGAGTTCGATGCCTGGCTCAAAGATCTTCAGCTGTATCTTATGACTGATGCCAAGGACGGCGTTTTGCTCTTTGACTTAGCTAAAGGTTCCTCAGTCGCTCCAGACACAGCTGACAGCGTCGCTCACTCACAGTAGCTTACCCGTGATGCTACTGCATGCCTAGCTATTCGCAACCACTTGCCTCTAGCCCTGCGCGCCCACTTTGGTCAGCAAAAACTGCTAAAGCACTGTACGCTGCTGTCATCGCTCGCTACTCTTCTCCTACCACTGCTGCCCTCAGCCGCCTTATCCTACCCTACCTTTTTCCTGAGCTTTCCTCCTTTGCCACAGCTGAGGACCTTATCACTCATCTCCGTGCTAGTGATGCTCGTTACCGCGCCACCCTCCCGGCCGAGTTCTTAGACAAGAACCCTCCCCCGATGTACATCACACTCTACTCCATCGTCACCCGACTCCCTGACTCTCTTCGTGTCGTCAGGGACCACTTTCTAGCCCTTCCCCCCACCGACCTCACCGTCGACGACCTCGAGAAGCACCTGCTTGCAGTTGAGTCCAACATCGTAGCTGTCGGTGCTGCTCGTTGCACTCCCCGCACTCCTCTCTTTGAGGGGTATGCCCCCTCCCCCCTTGTCCCCTCTCACGCCTCTACTGCTACTGTTGACTTCCTTGGTGCTGAGGAGGTCGGTGCCGCTTCTACTTCTGCTGAGAAGCGACGCAGCGGCAAGGGCAAGGGAGGCAAGGGTGGCGGCGCTGGCAACGGGGGAGGTGGTGGTGGAGGAGGCGGCGGTGGGGGTGGTGGTGGTGGGGGTGGTGGCGGGGGTGGAGGGGTCGGTGGCAGCAGTGGCAGCAGCGGTGCGCGTGGTGGTGGTGGAGGAGGCGGGGGTGGGAGCGGAAGCAGTGGCGGCGGCAATAGCGGTGGTGATGGCGGTGGGAACGGTGGTACCAGTGGTGGTGGCGGCCGTGGTGGAGCTGGTCAGCGGGGAGGTGCTGGCGGTGGCCAGCGCCAGTAGCAGTAGCGTCAGCCAGCCCCGCACGCCCCAGCAACTTCGTGAGTGGTGCGCTCAGCATGGAGCGTCTAGGGGTGGTGGTCGCTGCCCTTACCGCATTCGCATTGGTGAACGCGCTGGTCAGACGTGCAACAAGTTTCACACCGAGTACCGCTGCTTCTCTAGGCTTGACGACGCCTGGCGTGCCCAGTTTCCTGATGCTACTGAGCTTCCCTACTGGGCAGACCTGCTTAAGAGTGATGTTCCTATCTTTGATCTTGACTATGATGCAATTCTTGCTGCCATGTATGCATTGACTGTTAGTGCTGAGGGTGACGACTGCTCCTTGTGTATGCTACTTGTGTATGACTGCTACTTCAGCCCTAGGTGCTAGTGAGTCTGCTCTCTCTGGTACTGCGTCGGCTCAGGCCTTGCACACCTTTACACTTGACTCTGGTGCTTCCCGCTGTTTCTTTCACGACAGTACCACAGTCACTCCCCTCCTTGCACCTGTCCCTGTCTCACTGGCTGATCCCTTTGGGGGCCCAGTGCTTGCACGGTCCACTACTGTGCTTCCGTGCCCGGCGGTCCCATCTGGTGAGCTATCAGGTCTCCACCTCCCCTCGTTCTCTACGAACTTGGTAAGCACCGCCGTCCTTCAAGATCATTGGGTTGAAACCTTTACTCCTGGAGGACAGCGTGTGGCGATCTGCACGTGCTCTCGGACAGGCTGTCACCTGGCCACGTTCACACGTGCGCCTGGGTCCAGTCTGTACACCCTCAACACTGCGTCGCGCTACGCCCCTTTGTCTCCTCAGCTGTACGCGTCCGCTCATGTAGCTACCCAGTGTGAGTGTCGCCGCCTGACGCTCCAGACTCTCCTTTGGCACCACCGCCTTGGTCACCCCTCACTGCCCCGCCTGCTTGGCATGCACTCTCGCTCCCTGGTCTCCGGTCTTCCCAGGTCTCTGCCCTCCCTCGCCTGCGCCGCCCTGCATTCCTTGCGTCGAGGGGCGGCAGCGCTCCGCTCCTCACTCCTCCTCGTTCCCTTCGACCGAGGCTCCAGTGCAGACTCTCCACCTGGACGTGTGGGGCCCAGCCCGTGTCCGGGCAGGGCCGCGAGCGGTACTTCCTGCTGGTAGTCGAAGACTACACGCGTTACACAACGGTCTTCCCCTTGCAGCGCAAGAGAGATGTCCCTGCTGTTTTGATCCCTTGGATCCGCGCTGTTCGTCTCTAGCTCCGTGAGCGGTTCGAGTCGGACTTTCCTATCCTGCGTCTGCACTCTGACAGAGGTGGTGAGTTCACCTCCGACCTCTTGCGAGCCTTTTGTGAGGAGCAGAGCATCCGCAGTCGTTCACGCTTCCGGCCTCTCCGCAGCAGAATGGGGTTGAGAAGCGCCGCATTGGCTTAGTCATGGAGGTCGCTCGTACCTCCATGATCCATGCGGCTGCTCCCCATTTTCTGTGGTTGTTTGCGGTACGGTACGCTGCGCATCAGCTCAACCTCTGGCCCCGTGTCTCCATGCTAGAGACTTCGCCAACACTACATTGGACGGGGGAGGTTGGCAATGCGTCGCGATTCCGGGTCTGGGGTGCTCGTGCCTTTGTCCGCGATACCACTGCGGACAAGCTCTCCGCTCGCGCCATTCCCTGCGTCTTCCTTTGCTTTCCCCCTGACGCGCATGGCTGGCAGTTTTACGACCCCGCCTCGCGCCATGTCTTTGCATCTCAGGACGTCACCTTTGATGAGTCGGTCCCCTTTTACCGTCTCTTTCCCTACCGCACTACCCCTCTTCCCCCCCCGCCGCTCTTTCTCGCTCCAGGTCCCCCACAGGTAGACCCCCTCCCCCATCCAGGTCCTGCTCCTTCAGGTGTGTCTCAGGTAGACCCTCCTCCCTTGACTGGGCCTATTGAGGTCGCTGGTGACTCAGGTCCTGCTGGGGGTGGTCCTGCTCGGGGTGCTGCTTCTGGGGGTGCTGAGCCTGGGGGTGTGGAGCCTGGGGGTGCTGAGCCGGAGGGTGGAGAGCTTGGAGGTGCTGAGCCTGAGCGTGAGGAGCCTGTGGGTGCTGAGCCTGAGGGTGCGGAGCCTGGAGGTGCTGAGCCTGGGAGTGCTGAGCCTGGGGGTGCTGAGTCTGGGGATGCTGAGTCTGGGGGTACTGAGTCTGGGGGTACTGCGGCGCCTGGTGAGCAGTCTCCTTGGAGCGGCCCCCTACGTAGTCGCTCCGCTGGTACCTCGCCGCAGCAGTCTCGTCGGCGTGTGCCTCTCTCCACACAGCAGCTGCATGAGTTGTATGTTAGCCGTCAGGGTCGCGCTGCTGGAGCTGGGGGCCCTGCTGCGGGAGGCGCTGGCATTGGAGGCACTGGAGCTGGTGACTCTGCTACTAGAGGCACGTCTAGTGGAGTTACTGGAGCCGCTGCTCCCGGAGGTGCTCGTACTGGAGGTACTAGAGTTGCTGGGGCTGGAGGTACTGCTGGACCTGGAGGTTTTGCTGCTGGAGACACTGAGGCTGGAGACCCTGGGGCTGGAGGTGCTGGTTCTGGGGGTGCTGCTACTGGTGGCGCTGGTACTGGAGGTGCTTGCGCTGGAGGTTCTGGAGCTGCTGGTGGCGCTGGTACTGGAGGTGCTGGCGCTGGAGTTTCTAGAGCTGCTGGAGGTGCTGAAACTGGAGGTGCTGGCGATGGAGGTTCCGGAGCTGCTGGAGGTGCTAGTGCTGGTGGAGCTAGCGCTGGAGGTTCTGAAGTTGCTGGAGGTGCTGGCGCTGGAGGCGTTGGAGCTGGAGGTTCTGGAGCTGCTGGTGGCGCTGGTACTGGAGGTGCTGGCGCTGGACGTTCTGGAGCTGCTGGAGGTGCTAGCGGTGGAGGCGTTGGAGCTGGG